AAAAAGCAATTAGGCACAATTCTCTCATGATCTGAGCAAATATAGAAGGCATTATTTAAAAACTCCTGAGCTGATTTAGATAATATACAGAGAGCTATGCTTAAATATTAAACGGTGAGCTCAACATTTATTTCCTTCTGTCAGAGTGCTCCGATTCTGGGTTCTTCCAGAATGGTTCCTAGTAGATGAATGCTAACAGGCACACCCTACACATTTCAAAATGTATATGCCTCTTTAAAAAGACTGAAGAATTAAACTAAGCAGAAATATATCACTGATCAGACTAGTAGCAGGAATAAATCAGTAAAGTGTAGATAACTAAAGCAAGCTACCCTGTGGTTAGCCCCACCCACAAAAAAGTTGGATTTTCCAAGGTTTGAAAAGAGAGAAGAACTAAACAATTTGATAACATAATGTATATCATGTGTTGGTTACTGCAAGACAGGCGAACTAATGCCAGTGTACTGGAAGAAGCAAAGATCACCAGTGTTGAAGCAATGATTCTTCAACATCAATATCACTAGACTGGTCATGTTGTGCGGATACCTGATTATCGTCTTCCAATGCAACTACTCTATTCCGAACTGAAAAATGGAAAGCGTAATGCTGGTGGTCAACAAAAGAGCTTTAAAGACCCCCTCAAGGCAAATCTTTTAAAAAATGTAGTATAAACACCAACTATTGGGAAACACCGGCCTGTGAGCGCTCCAGTTGGAGAACAGCCTCTACCAAAGGTGTCATGGGCTTTGAAGACACTTGAACTCAGGATGCAAGGGAGAAACATGCTAAGAGGAAGGCACGTTTGGCAAACCCTCACCGTGATCAACTCCCGCCTGGAAACCTGTGTCCCCACTGTGGAAGGACGTGTGGATCCAGAATTGGCCTCCACAGTCATTTGCGGACTCACTGTTAAAACCATGTTTATGGAAGACAGTCTTACTTGGCTATGAGTGATCGCCAAAGAGAAGAGAGACTTCAAGACTGAATTACTGCAATGCGCTCTTTGTGGGGCGTCCCTCACGTAGCTGCAATCCAGAAGCTACAATTAGTGCAGAATGCTGCAGCCTGATTGCTGACAGGAGTAAGACTTTATACCTGGTGTTACATCCCCAAAGCATCAGAGTAATCGCCTGGTAATAGTGAATACCTTCCCCACTGCAGTTATGTCAGGGCGGTTCAGAGGGGTTCTCTTAGAGGTATCTGTGCGGACAGTCTAGATCAAATCAAGTTGTACAAATAGTTCCCCTAGTCAGAAATCTATAGCTGAGCAGTTCGAGAACAAAAGAGATTGGGTCTGAGTAGACCTATAGGTCTGTGTCCTGGTAAATCAGATCCACAGAATAATATTTGCTCTAGTTTTTAGTGCAGTTTTAGTCTATTAAAAAGAAATGGGCTGAAATTTACTGCCAAGATGAAGGAGCAGGAAGAATGCTATATATTGTAGGAGCCTGTTGAATTAAATTATAATGGGTCAGGTTCCGTTGTAGTCAATTTTGGCAAACAGTGTGACAGATGTTTATTATTGTAAAAGTCATGGATATGTCCTGGATATTGTAACTGACTGTGTTATTAGGTCATGTTTCAGTCATACCCTAAATAGTGCATCTCATTTTTTTATTATTGTATTCCTAAAGGTGATAGCCTTTGGCTAAACAACAGAGATTTAGGTTTGGATTAGCTTCAGTGTGGTTGCTGTCTCATACTCCTTCAGGCCATGCCCAGGAAAGATTTCCTCATTTTCACCCATCATTACCCTGGTCTCTAACATAAATTGTAAGCTCATTAGAGCAGGGACCCATTTTCCCCCCTGTTTACATTTCTCTGTGCTGCTCTGTAATGTGCCTCCCATAATAACAGCCCTGCCTAAAGAATATTTCCAAGCTGAGATACATGCAAAGCAGAATTTTTGCCTGCACAGTTTCAAGTCGAATGCAGTCCAAGCTAATTTCGCTTCCCCTCCTCGCAAAGAAATTTCCTTCAGGCTTGCAAAGTTGTTTTGCAGCACGGAGACTGCCCTGTGGAGAATCACTAAGCACCTGCTTTCTGCAGGGACTTCCTGTTTCCTGGGCTTATTACTGTTAGATCTTCCAGCAGCATTTGACATCAGTTGACACTGCTCATCCTGGGATTCCAACTGAGCATCTGGAATTCTATGTTGGTCTAAGCGCAACCGTTCTCCTCTGTGCTGCCTGAAGCAGTCAGTTTTTAATCCTTAATTTGTGTGGCACGAATACAGTTAGGCTCCATTAGATTCCCTTTCCCCCTCCTCCCCATCGTCCCACTATTGATGTCGACATATTGCTCTTAGCTACAGTAATTAGGCAATTTGAAAAATACCCATTAAAGAGCCGCGGACAAAGAAAATGACTACATCCTTTGCATTCTGCAAAATTTCAACGCTGTCATCAATTCTGTTAGAAAGCGTAACTGGATGAATGAGCTCTTGTGCAGGTAACTCTTTTTATTATTTAAAAACGGGTCACACCCAATGGTACAAGGAGAAAAAAATTCTCAAAGGTACTATTATCAGTCTGAATTTCCAAGGCTCATTCCTGTTCACTCAAAGAACACTTTCTCCCGTAATTGGCTGTGGTCCTTCTTTAACAAAATAGCTGACATAAAATAAATAAATAGTGGCTTGGTTCCTAAGTTGCTTCTTAGACAAAATGTATATGGTTGCTGCACTGAACCATATCTAGCCATATAGAGACTTTATTGGCCGTGAGTCCTGGGAATCAGCTGCATTAGCCGTGTTACAACACTGTAACTGTGTTATAAACATGCAACACCAGATGGTGCTGTAGAGCACATAACTTTGTCTATGTGATTTTACATAGAGGTCTTTTTTTCTTTTGTTATGATGATTTAATTTATGACGTATTTATAGGGGGGGTTTCCCTGTGTCTAGATCCAGCCCAGCTCCCTGCCTTGCAGGCCTTTTCCCACCTGGCCTGAGAGGGCAGGACCCAGACTAATAATAATAATAATAATAATAATAATAATAATAATTTATACCCCACCCATGGGGGCAGCTTCCAACAAAATATTAAAAATACAGTAAAACATCAAATATTAAAAACTTCCCTAAACAGGGCTAACTTCAGATGTCTTCTAAAAGTCAGATAGTTGTTTATTTGTTTGAAATCTGATGGGAGGGTGTTCCACAGGGTGGGAGCCACTACCAAGAAGGCCCTCTGCCTGGTTCCCTGTAACCTCACTTCTCATAGTGAGGGAACCACTAGAAGGCCCTCCACGCTGGACCTCAGTGTCCGGGCTGAACAATGGGGGTGGAGGAGCTCCTTCAGGTATACTGGGCCAAGGCCGTTTAGGGCTTTAAAGATCAGCACCAACACTTTGAATTGTGTTCGGGAACGTACTGGGAGCCAATGTAGGTCTTTCAGGACCGGTGTGATATGGTCTTGGCGGCCACTCCCAGGCACCAGTCTACCTGCCGCATTCTGGATTAGTTGCAGTTTCTGGGTCACCTTCAAAGGTAGCCCCACATGGAGCGCATTGCAGTAGTGCAAGCGGGAGATAACCAGAGAATGTACTACTCCAGCTATGAAAGCTGAAGCTACCGAGCAGATTCTTGGACTGGGGTGTTGTTTGGGGTTTTGTTGGTGGGGTTGTAGCTGTTGGGGTTTATTTTAGATCTTGTGATTTATCTGGAAATCGTTCAGTTTGGTTGTGCGTTCATCGGTGCTTTCTTTATTATTGGTGACTACTTTTGTTATCTTGCAGTTATGTAATTTTTTCATGTTGCAAGCCACCTGGAGCATGCTTTGAACAGTGGAAAGGAAGCATACAAATAAAATTCTGTGTGTATTCTTATGTAAACCTCTGCTAGTTCCCAGGTTTGTTTACTATGGGAAAGGAGGGGGACTGGATTTCCAAGTGGTGCTCCACTATGGCCAGTACTATGTACTAAGATTCCCAGGGGTCAATACTGTACAATAAGATCACCTTTAGCATACAGAGCTGGGAGTGAATTATGTGAAAAATGGACCAGTTCCTTGCCAACCAGATAATGCTCTTCAAGAAAGTTAATAATTAAGTAGTTGAGGAGTGCCAAAGAATTGATTCTTTTGAATTATGGTGCTGGAGGAGACTCTTGAGAGTCCCATGGACTGCAAGAAGATCAAACCTCTCCATTCTGAAGGAAATCAGCCCTGAGTGCTCACTGGAAGGACAGATCCTGACGCTGAGGCTCCAATACTTTGGCCACCTCATGAGAAGAGAAGACTCCCTGGAAAAGACCCTGATGTTGGGAAAGATCACAAGGAGAAGGGGATGACAGAGGACGAGATGGTTGGACAGTGTTCTCGAAGCTACCAGCATGAGTTTGACCAAACTGTGGGAGGCAGTGGAGGACAGAGGTGCCTGGCGTGCTCTGGTCCATGGGGTCATGAAGAGTCGGACACGACTAAACGACTAAACGACAACAAAAGCTTTCTGGGAAATGATATATAATGAGTTAAAGAAAATGTTAAAGAAAACTATTTGTTAAAAAACCTGAAGCCTTTTTGTTAGGTATAATAGGTGAAGAGATGCCAAAATAAGATAAGAGACTGTTCATGTACGCAATGAGGGCAGCGAGAATTCTTCTAGCCCAGAGCTGGAAGGAGGGAGAAGTGCTTACTAGAGAAGAATGGCAGACTAAGTTAATGGAATATTCAGAGATGGTGAGACTGACCGGAAAGATCAGAAACCAGGAAGATCAAGTATTTCTAAAAGACCAGAATGAATTTTTAACATACTTAAAAGACCACTGTAAATAGTTAAAATTGTTGGCAGGGATACAATGACACTTGTAATGTGAAATGAACTTTGGAAACTATGAATATATAACAGATAGATAACGGCAAAAGATGCAGAAAAAGAAAAAATAATAATATATTCTCTTTGGAAATGGAACCCATTGAGGGAGGAAAGGAGGTCTGAAGGTTTGAAAGAACCTTTTATTTTAATGTTTTGAAATGGTTAAAGTTAAAATGTATAAAATTACGTAAAACCAATAATACAGTTATGAAATAATTATGAAGTTGAAGAGAGATACTGTAATTCATTACTTATTCAAAAGCATTGTACTGCATTCTTTGCTAGTAGAAGACTTCTTAGGCTACGCTTGATCTTAGCCAAAAGGCCAAGAAGCGATACCCAAATGGCAAGATAATCCAAAAGTTACAGACTATTGTTGATTGCTCTCTACTAACTTCTGAAGTCAGCAACTGCCAGAGGTTTCTTCTGTTCCAATAGTCACTTTTGCAACTTAACTTCCATCTGACATCAGGAGGATGGATGCTGTAAGGAAGAAACCTGAAGACTAGGTTCATAATTCATTTTGCCTGAAACCATTTTTAATTAGATGTCATTTGAGAATTTCTTTTTAATTACCGCTTAGAGCTTCTGGTCACTGAACTCTGTACGGTACTCCTGTATGCTAATGAGAAAGTTGCTTTAGAAATGCAAATGCTAAAATTTTAAGTGCAAAAGCTGCTGTTAATATCTGGCTCTTAGAAGACTCCTGCTATCACCAAGTCTTTTTCACACGGTTTTAATAAACTACACAGGTCGTGATTAGATGGAAAGAAATCAGGTGAAGCGTTGCTTCTCACCTTCGTGCTATATTAATACTACAACTGCTGTAGAGCATTGCTCCTCAAACAGCAGGCCAAGGGCTACCAGGGGGTCTCAACCCACTTTCAGGTAGGCTTCAGTACCACATCCCTCCCAAAACTTAGCTTTTTTGGGGGGGACTAACACCAGCTGGTGTTAGTCTACTGGTTTTCCCCGTAGTGATGTATGGAAGTGAGAGCTGGACCATAAAGAAGGCTGATCGCTGAAGAATTGATGCTTTTGCTGGAGGAGACTCTTGAGAGTCCCATGGACTGCAAGAAGATCAAACCTATCCATTCTTAAGGAAATCAGCCCTGAGTGCTCACTGGAAGGACAGATCGTGAAGCTGAGGCTCCAGTACTTTGGCCACCTCATGAGAAGAGAAGACTCCCTGGAAAAGACCCTGATGTTGGGGAAGATGGAGGGCACAAGGAGAAGGGGGCGACAGAGGACGAGATGGTTGGATAGTGTTTTCGAGGTTACCAGCATGAGTTTGACCAAACTGCGGGAGGCAGTGGAGGACAGAGGTGCCTGGCGTGCTCTGGTCCATGGGGTCACGAAGAGTCGGACACGACTAAACAACTAAACAACAACAACAAAACACCAGCAGCTCCCTGGTGTTTGCAGGCACGTGTGTGGCACTGTGGTCTAAACCACTGAACTTCTTGGGCTTGCCGATCGGAAGGTCAGTGGTTCAAATGCCCAAGACGGGGTGAGCTCCCGTTGCTCTGTCCCAGCTCCTGCCAACCTAGCAGTTCGAAAGCACAGCAGTGCAAGTAGATAAATAGGTACCACTGTGGTGGGAAGGTAAACAATGTTTCCGTGTGCTCTGGTTTCCATCACAGTGTTCTGTTGCGCCAGAAGTGGTTTAGTCCTGCTGGCCACATGACCCAGAAAGCTGTCTGTGGACAAACACCGGTTCTCTCTTGGCCTGGAAGCGAGATGAGCGCTGCAACCCCATAGTCACCTTTGACTGAACTTAACCGTCCAGGAGTCCTTTACCTTTTTACCTTACCCTGTAGACACACATGGGAAACATATAAATACCATTAGCTCCTTAGATGTCACTTTCTCAGGTTGTTCTCCCCAAATTGTTGGAGTATGACCAGGAAATGACCAAGACATGTGCATATGTTCACTTTGCTGGTTGCAGTTTTTCTCAACCTTCTGCATTACAGTGGTACCTTGAGTTACAAATGCCTCAGGTTACAAACTCCGCTAACCTGGAAGAGTTACCTCGAGTTGAGAACTTTGCCCCAGGATGAGAATGGAAATCATGTGCTGGCGGTGCTGTGGCAGCAAGAGGCCCCATTCGCAAAAGCACGCCTCTAGTTATGAACAGTTTCAGGTTAAGAACGGACCTCCGGAACGAATTAAGTTCGTAACTAGAGGTTGCACTGTATTTGCATTTGTTATCTTTGCCAGACATACCAGTGTAACATGCCATTGATGTAATAATTTTAAGGAATTCTCCCTAGGTATTAGTTTAGTTTCAGTTTATTGCAGTCATAGACCAGCATTTTAAAAATAGCTACAATACAAAATTATGAAAGCAAGATACAATATTTATAAAAACCAAACCAGAATAAGAGCAGGAAGGCAAGAGTCACTGACCAGTGGGTTAAAACAACTATAATTATAACTGTTACTAAAGCACTCCAATTGAAGACTGAGGGAGACAAGTCATGTGTCTGAAACAAAAGATTTCATAAACGGAATAGTAATAGTATCTCTATAAGGTGTCTTTGGTTTATTGTAATTTTCCTGTGGGTAATAGCAGATGCACTATATTGTTAAAGCGTGTTCTCCTTCATGGAGAGCACGTGTTGCGGTGGGGGCCGCCAGGACACTCCAAAGTTGGGGGGCAGGCTAATTGATCGTTGGCCACTGATGCGATTGGGGTGTCCCTTGTTGTTGGGAAGAAGTTAATGTTGCCGTTTGTTGATTGACAGCCAGAAATGCTAAAACTCCTTGCACGAGGCTAGGGTTTCCTCTTTTCACCCGTGCATCGGATTGCCTGTCCCTCCCTCCCTAGAATATGGTTGTTCGCTTTGACCTTGCTATGCCTGTCATGGGGTCGTCTGCTTTGGAGCGGGGGCCTGGTAGGAATTTTGTCCATCTGGCTGATTGGCTGGGGCCATTTGGTTTTTGCCTACTGCGTAGCAAATCGTCACAACTTGTAAGGTTGCGGTTAGGCATTGGTCTTGGAATTGGTTGGTGGAGGCGTATGGATTTGGCTGTGCCTGCCCCTCTAATGCTGCTGCAAGGAATTCCGTTAAAGGAATTGGGAGCTAACTATTGCTTGTCCACTCTGTCAAGGGGGCTTGGGCCATAGCAATGAGCTCCTGGTTGCATTTGGGGTGAGGGCAGGTTCCCTGCTCCGCGTAACCCCCAAGTGTATTCCCCCATTCTGACTTTCGCATCGTGCGGAATGTCAGTCTGTCCCCCATGGTGGGGGCAGATAGTCGCAACCAATGCCTACGCAACCACTGACAAATTTGTATTTTAATAAAGTTGTGGCCAAAATTATGCCAAAAATCTTAAACAAAAACTTCTGTGTGATGTGTGAGTTATTGGGGTGGACCTGGGGACCTCGACACGCAACATAGTTTTCTTTGATTGAGTTGTCCATGTTTTGTCCTGTACATTTTGTCCTACTGTTTCCCCAGTATCAAATTATTTTCGATGTATCTGATAAACTTTTGTCTATTTCAATAAGATGTAAATAAACTTTGGGATGTGATTTCATGCGCAGGATGTTACGAAGTTAAACCAATTGCTCACCACAGAGAAGGATGTGAAATGTGGGTCTTTGGAGCAAAAGCCATGCACCGTAAGAAATATCGTCGGTCAAGAATTGATGGGGAATGTTGAGCAATAGCTGGGCACGATGCTCAAGGGCAAACCAGTCAACACCTTGGTGGATAGTAAGAAGCAATAGGCATTGAAATAGCAAGCCAAAAACAATTGAAAGTATACATAGGACAGATTCACACCATACATTTCAAACATATCCAATGCACATTTAAAGTATCAAATTTTTCACTCTATAGGATGCACCGGCCCATAGGAGGCACCTTGTTTCAGAGGGGGAGAACAAGAAGAAAAAAATTATCCCCCTCTCTGCTCAGCGCCCCTTCAGCGAAGCAGCAGGAGTAACGGAGCCCCTTCCATTTCTCCTCCCACTTGGCTGAAGGGGCGCTGCGCAGCTCTCCCTCTCTGCTGAAGCCAGGAGAGTCTTGCTCTCCTGGCTTCAGTGAAAGGAACCTGAAGCCTGCGGAGTGCAGCGGGAACTCCCGCTGCACTCCGCAGGCTTCAGGCAGCTATCCCTGAAACCTTCGGAGCACAGCGTGAGTTCCCGGGAACTTGTGCTGCGCTCCGAAGGCTTCAAGCGGCCATCCCTGAAGCCTGGAAAGCGAGAGGGGTCGGTGCGCACCAACCCCTCTTGCTCTCCAGGCTTCAGTGAAAGCAACGTGAAGTTTCCGGAGCACGGAGGGAGCGCTCCCTCTGAGCTTCGGAGGCTTCACGTTGCTATCGCTGAAACCAAGGAGCCTGCATTTGCTCCATAGGACACACACACATTTCCCCTTAATTTTTGGAGGGGGAAAAGTGTGTCCTATAGAGCGAAAAATACGGTACAACCTGGGAACTGTAGGTTCCCCTGCAGAGAGCTATAATTCCAAGCATCCTTAAACTACAGTTCCCATGATTCTTTGGGGGGAAGTCATGTGCTTTAAATGTATTTATTTTATTTCTTTTTAAAATTTCTATGCTGCCCTCCATCCCAGGATCACGGTGCAGCTTGCAATATAAAAACACAAAAATATGTAGCACAGCAACAAACAAAACATAACACCCTTGCCATTTATGTTGGTGGCAAAGAAAAAGAAAAAAGGTATAAAAAGGAGAATTCCCTGGATGCCAAGATCCACGTTGGAGGCCCGTACCCTTTGCTGAGAAAACCTCAACAGAGATTTTAAAAATTAAGTGGAAATATAGGCTGTTAGATCTTTAAAATATGCCCTTATAAGTTCCTTCCAAAGTTCACAACAAAAAAGCGTAATAATAGAAAATACATAAAAATACAAAATGAGAACCCAAAATACATGATAAAAATAAGAACAAAAGCAAAAGCAAACCAATAGTCCTCCACTCACAAACACATTTAATATTTGCGCGTTGAGGTCCCCAAGACACCCCCCAAAGAAAAACACAATTGACACTTAATTTTTGTTTAAGGTTTTTGGCATAATTTTGGCCACAACTTTATTCAAATTACAGCAATGTGAGTGGTTGCTTAGGCATTGGTAGCACTAACTGACCCCGCATGGGGACAGCTCTGACATTCGCACCCCCCGCGAAATCAGAAAGGGTAAGTCACCTGGGGAGAGAGACGGGATTGGGAACCATGCCTCACCTCTCCCCAGAATGCTCCCAGGGGCTTGCGTGGCCCTAGCCCCTTGCCAGGGGGTTTCGGACCAAAGCATGGGGAGTCCCTGGATTCCTTTAACGGAAAACCCTTGAAGCAGCAGCAGCAGCATTTTGGAGGGGCAGGCACAGCCAAATCCATACGCCTCCACCAACCAATTCCAAGACCAATGCCTAACCGCCAACCTTACAAGTTGTGACGATTTGCTGCGCAGTAGGCAAAAAACCAAGTGGCACACACTAATCAGCCAAATGGACAAAATTCCTACCGGGCCCCTGCCCCAAAGCAGACGACCCCATGACAGGCATAGCAAGGTCAAGCAAACAGCCTAAAATTAGGGAAGGGAGGGCGGGTGATCCGAAGTAAGCAGCGAAAAGAGGAAGTTTGTCACTGCGTGCAATGTATTTAACAAATAGGGCTGTCAATCAACAAATGGCAACATCTAGATTTCCCCAGTAACAGCCCGCCCCTGCTTAAAGGATGGCCAAACCATTTGCCTAGCAACAGTGAGGTGTCTCGTCAGCCCCGCCCGCAACCTGTGCTCTCCATGAGGGAGAACACACTTAATCAGCCAAAGACCTGGTTAAAGAGAAATGTTTTTGCCTGGTGCCTAAAGATATGCAATGAAGGAGCCAGGGGAGCCGCCATAGTTAAGGTCTATGAATTCCAGTTATTTGTAACTGAGTAATTAGACTTCTTATTACTAAAGCGGTTTTGTGGCAGATGCCTTAAGAAGGTAGTATTTGCCAGTTGTTGCTTATGATGCTGTGGTGTCCATCACTAAAGCAAGATTCAGAAATGTTAGCTCAGTTTGTCATCAACTACGAAAACTGGAGACGGAAGAAATTTTGTGTTTAGACTGTAAGCAAAGAATAATCATATCAGGATCTACCAAGGTGTATCCATGTAGCTCATCTTTCCTTAACCAAAGTTTTATAACTCTGTTATACAGAATAAGTCTAGATCTTTCCAATCAAATATTAGTTTTTTGGGAGAAGAAGCTACTGGGAAAGCAAATGACATTAGGATTTAATACTTCTGTCAGTTACATGAAGCCAAACAAACAGAAAATTGAAAAAGGAGAGAACCAACACCAGGTATTTAATGTGAATTGATTAACATTTAGATGTAATCAATCCCAAGCATGAAGTGTTATTAATTGAGGTAGTGACCCCCC